GCTCTAGCCGCGCCCCCGGCGTGCACACGGGCGCAGCCATGTTGCTGCCCCTGACCCGCAGTCGGGGGGGGGGCGTGTCGTTACTGCGCCTGTGCAATGCTGCCGCACATGCGCACGGCGGGCGGCGACGCCGCTGCCCGCGGTCTCGCCCTTCTTTCTCCCTCCAGTGAGGGGAGGGCAGCGCTGCGCCGGCGGGGCGCCGGGGCCAGAGCCTCCCGCTGGACTGTTAGCGCTGTAAGGGCGACAGCACCCGTCAATTATCACTAAGCGCTAATTAGTTATTACTTAATGGTGATTTGCGGTGCGCTAGCAGCCGTGCCGCTCCCGAAAAGGGGGGCGTGAGAGGCTCTTCCCGCTGCTCCTGAGGTGCGGCTGGGCCCGGGTGGCCTTGAGGTGCTGGTGGCCAGCGTGGTTCCTGCCACCCGGGGCTGGGATCTGTTCAGAAAGCAAACCTAAGTCCGCTGGGGAAAAAAGGCATTTTGAGGGGAAAACATTTTTGAAGTCACTTGGGGTTTTTCCTCAACTCATGTCTGCAGCACAAACACCCTATGCATGGTCCTGCTGACACCATCCTGCACAGGCGTTCCACGGGCCGTTCCTGGGAGCAGCAGATTGGAACAATGCGCAGGGGAACAAATACAGCCTCCTGGCCAGGGTCATCTCTCCTGCCATTTCCCGAGAAGTGTGTTTGCTCTCCCTGGCAGGGAAAATGCCATTTTTCACTCCCATCCCATCAGAAACACTTGTGTGTTTTGTATTTGTGTCTCTCTGAGGCCCCTTCCCCCCCTCCACAAAGGGCATTCAAATCCACAGTGGTTTCAAAAGTTGCAAAGAGGATTTTGGAACAGAGTCCTCACGTAATCCTCACCCAGCAGGAAACCACGCTTGAAATTGCGGGAAATACGATTGTAGGGGAGGGAGAAGGGATAAATGTTGGAGAGCACCACAGCGCATGCGGAGACGGAAAATCAGCAGGCTTCAATTCAAGATTTCCTTGGCTGCAAGCATATCACTTGGGATGACTTTTGGACGTAGCAGCTGAGGATGTGTCGATGCTTCACGCTCTCAGCATCGGTAACCACCTTCAGGCAGCTCAGTTCCTCATCAAACTGCTAAGGGTGTTTGCAGGTGGGAAGCACCGCGCTGACCTGTCCTGTAACATCTGCCCTCAGCAGTGTAGTGATTGACATCAAAGTGGAGTTGCCAACTCCAGCAAATTTATTACAGCTCTCCTGCAACGCTGGGATTTTTTTCTGAACTGCCTCAGTCCCCAGAGACAGGCAATGTTAGAGTAATCTTCATTTCATTTAGTCCTCATTTTCATTTGAGTGAAAAGCTCAAAGCTCTGCAGGCAAAAATAGAAAGAACCTGAATGTATTGTATTTCTCATCCTCCTTTGATTTTTAAGGGAGCTCCTTGGTTTTCTCATCCTCACAATTTTTATGATTATCTGGTGGGTTATCAGTACTTCATTCTAATTTAGGCTTTGTTGTGTTTATTGAGGATCACTTCTTGGTTTCATATCAGGACATGATCAAACAAGTGGAATTCTTTGACATTACTAGGACACCTGTCCCCAGTACGGCTGCCTGACCACCTTTCTCCAAAGCCTGCGATGTGTGTGAAGCTTAAGGCAGGCCAGTTTGCTGTCCTAGGAATTAATTCCTGAAAACTGTGGTTCTGATTCCTGGAAGAAGCAGGAGCCACAGTTACATATTTCAGCTGTAATATAGCGAAGACTGGACTGTGAGCAGTTATAGTAACACCCACCAGAGTACCTGGCTTTCTGAAAGAACCTTGCTATTTAGACAGAAATAAAAATGATCTGAAATCTACCGTTTCCAGCTGGTGTTCTGGTAAGTGGCTAAATAAACACAAAAGCTGAAAGTTCCTCAGTTTCCAAGTCCATGTCTGTCATTAAATTAGGTACTTTTGAGCGATATTGAGGGGAAAATCAGACATCTGCAGTAAATGAAGCATGCTTTTAGAGTTACTGCTCTCCCCATACAACCCACTCATGGCAGCACTTAAAACAAGACCTTATTCCCCACATGTGTCCAGGAGGTCTCTTGACATCAAGGTTCTTGGGGTCATAGCAAGCATTTTTCACGTTGTTCAGTGCAAAGCTTTCAGATACACTCAGTGGCAGTGACTTTTATTTATCACCTTCTGTTGGAAGAACTGCTGCTACATCAGAGAGGTCACAACCTCCTATTGTTGCAAGCCACTGTCCTCTCCAAAATGAACAAGTTCTGCTTAATGCCGCAGGCCAAACATTAATCTTTGTGCTAAGTCCTTCATTTGACTCCCCCTGAGCTTGCAGAGTAAGTTGAGTGAAGAAAGAGATCCGTTCTCTCACATCCTTTCTTCCTTGCAGGAAAACGCCGCCAGTGTTCCCGAGCACCTCCACTGCAAGAGAAGAAGATGGGCTGAGCAGAAAAACCTAGCACAGGCAAAGGAAAAGCCTGACTGTGCCTGAACGACAGACGTTCATGGTCCCACACCTTCACTCAACCCTGTTTTCAGCTCATTCACAGTCCTGTATCATCTCCCAAACCCGCTTTCATCTGTGGCTGAAGCTTGGGGGCTGGAGGGCAAGCTGGGGACACTGAGGAACAGCCACGCGGTGCTTTTCCCAGGCACTGTGGGTGCAATACCCTGCAGCAGAGGAGAGGGTAGACAGTTGTGTCTGCGCTGCCGCCTCTGCCAGCACTGGAGCAGCGTGGTGGCCACCGGGTTTTCGCTCAACCCTTCCTTTCATCTTCTTTTTCGTTCCCTGCTCCTCTCTTTCTCTGCCCTTCCCTGCAGGCTGGTAAGAGTGCTTTTTAGAATGACCATTATGCCTACAGCACCTCACCTGCTTCCTTCAGCCTTTGCAGCACATAAA